GTTTAGTTCGCTTGATAGTGGCGTCTATAGCATTGGATCTTTCGAATCTTTGTATTTGGGCTCATAGATCTCATATCTATTGGGTTTTCTTACACAATTTTCAAAAGGGTCTCTGCTTGGTTAGAATTAGCTCTCTTCATTTTTGATTTGGGTTTTTCTACCATTGAACTCGTGAATTGATCCACGTGAGGTCAAATATCTTTCCTTTCTTTGTTTTTCGTGTGTTCTAGAGTCTTTAAATCCGAATTTCCAAATTCCGCTGCCTACAAATCTCTGACTTTCCGAACTAGCAAAGTTGGTCTTTTCTTAAAGATTGGTTTTGTTACGGATTGCTATCATCCTTTGTGTCTTGATCATCATGAAGGTATCGGCCATAAATTGTTCATAAAGCCTTTGGGCATACATGAAATGGGTACTTTCATCAAGCCTTTCCTGGATCTGAAATGCAAGCCATTCCTACATGGTTAAAGTTTTCCTTCATCCCTTTGACATTTCAGAGTTGTCATCTTCATTGAAATCACCCTCATTGGCACCAGCCTGATCAGGTTCAGGTTCATACTCAACAAAATCTTTACCGGAAAGGGGGATCTCCAACCTATATCCATCTTTGGGTACTGCAAACCAAACACATTGCATGTAGCTCGTATATTTGTTGGACCTTGACACTTCTCTTCTCGACAACAATATTCCTACGGCTTTCCTATGTCTTGCGATGTTCTTCTACTACGATGACTGAAACTTCATCGGCACTCGAAAGATTAAATACCCTACCATCCTTTCCACGTTTCCCAGCTATCACAAGCTTGACGTTAGCTTCTTTGTCATATTGAAACCGATTTTGGAGAAGTAAACGAAGTAAAAAAGAGAGAAATGGTAGAATTAGTGGTTAACGAATCAAATGAAAGTAATTGTAAAACTAGAATAATTAATGGAAACAAATGATGAGTTTGAAGTGATGTGATGTTGTGTGTGCATTCGTATAAGTAATTAAAGGGATTATGTCTGTTTAGTTTTTTATTTCGGACAATGTATTAGGAAAAAAAAGATGTCATAAATCACAGTACAATATTTTGCGATCAAATATATGTTATCGGACGATATATAAAATCTTTTATTTAAGCACAGATTATTAAAAACTGGAGAAGGATCATCATTTTATAAGGACTGTGAGTAGAAACTTGCAGCACAAATCACACATGTTATCAATATTTAGGGAATATGCAGTTCTAATTACTCAATCTGTACCCCAAAAAAAATACAGATTGAGATTTGAGTGTTGTATTAATTTTAGTACAAATTTTAAAACTCGTAGTGGACTATTATTTTGGAACAAAGGTAGCGTATAAAATACATACAGTATTGTGGGTTAAGTATTGAACTAATAAAAAATATATGTGGGCCGATACATTATAATTGTCTAGAATAAAATCTACAACATGTGGGCTAAATCAATAAAAGTGTGAATTCTATTTGGGCTCAATAAAAGCTAACACCAACTGAAATTTTCCAAATATAAAGCCCATAATTTTTATTTTTTTTAAAGGGATCAATAATGGTTTCCCACTTACTCCGGCGTGACTCAAACCCGTGACCTATTGAAATAGAGGAGACGTCTTACCACTGGACTGCACCTCATTGTCTGTATAAAGCCCATGATATTCAACATTTCATACTGATCAAATTTTATAAAACTATGATGCAGTAAATTTAATTATTGAAGGTGGCAATATTTTTATTAAAAGAATAAATTACTTTAAAAGTCCCAAAAAGTTGCCAACTATATTCATTCAAAACTATAAGGTTGAAACATTCTTAAATCCCCCAGAAAGATCAATTTTGTTTTTTACTATTTTTCCGTCAAGATTCCGTCAAATGAGTAACGGTCAACTTTTAATCAGTTGACTTGCTAAAAGGACAATTTTGTCTTTTTGTTTTTCTTCTTCTGATATGATTTATAATTTTTATCTTTCTTTTCAGACTAAATTTGAACATTTTTATTTTTTTGAAGAAAAAATTGAAAATCCACATTACTTCTCTCACTGGTCCCATCAAGTACCATTAATTTAAAAATTTCTATCTTTTCTTGAAAGGAATATTGTACTAATTATTAAAAATCCTATAAATTTTATTTTCTCTTCTTTGCCATTGCTACCACTTAAAATCAAAGCCAAAAAAAAAAAAAAACAAAACCAAAAACCATAACCACAATAGTCAACAATAAAATGACAATTATTTACATTTTATCAAATCGAGGGTGCATAATGAATCTGTCTGGACTTGCCTGTGATGAATTTGAAACTTGAAATCAGCCCAAACTTTTTTACATTGAGTTTTGATTCCTGACCCATTTGAAGCTTGGATTGAAAATGAAAGTAGGGAGAGGGGATCGGAAAGTCAGAAAAACAATTACCTTTCTGATTCAAGCCAACATTTTGTAATAATGAATTTATTTTTCAGATCTGGCACTATTTTCTCATTTTTAATGAAATCTCTTTGAATTGTTTTTGGGTCGAGGAGAGTGACGTGGTGGTTGTGGTGGTGGCTACATCGTGGAGAAGGTGGAGATGGAAGGAAAGAGATGGAGTAGGAGGTGGTGAGGGCTGCAACATGGCGAAGGTGGAGGAGGAAGGAAGGAGATGGAGGCGGCTTTAGACGCTGGATCATGGAGAAGGTGGAGGAGGATGGAGGTAGATGGACGTGGCGGTGGTAGCTCCAACATGGAGTAGATGGAGGAGTAAAGAGGTATGGAGGCGGCAGAGTGGAGAAGGCAGAGAACAAAATATTAGGGTTTGTTTTTTTAGCAATCGGATTGAGATTGGGCCATATTTAAAATATTAACATTGGACAAATTTTGCCCCAATCTTAAAGGAGGGATTAATATTTTTTCTAGACAATCCTACCCTTAATCAATACATATATCTTCCACGCATTGACTAAGTTCACCATTTAACTTTTGACAGAACCTTAACGGAAAAGCAATAGAAAACAAAATTCATCTTTCAGGGGGGGACTTGAGGACGTTTTAACTCTATAGTTTTGAATGAATATAGTCATCAACTTTTTGGGATTTTTGTAATTATTGATTCTATTAAAATGAGGACAACAGATCATTTTTATTGGCCTAAAAATTAGAAAAATGTAGATGTCATATATGAAACCGACTTAAACAGAAGATCACATATTTTATTTTTATTACATCACACCATTAGAACATGGAAATTACCTAAAATACAATGAAATACGATGATGTCATAAGAAAAGAATTTAAATAGATAAAACGCAAGGCCAAAAAACCCGGCAACATTTGAGAAATTCATTGGCTTCTTTACTATTTCACCATCTTCTTTTTGCACATTGTAGACAACATAGCAATTTCACATCCCCATAGTTCAAAATCCAAGTGAAAATACATGTGACGAATTTGCAACAGAGGCTGTTCATTTATAGTTCAACAGTTCAATCTTTTTGTACCTGCTAAACTTACAATTATTCCATGAAACATTAGTAGGAGCATATACCACAAAAAGACCATGCATTTTCATATCAAAACATGCCAAAACGTTTCTGTTATATCCGTCAAAATTATGAAATTGGTAGACCTAATCTAAAGTCAAAGCTATATAATCTCGAAAAAGTTTACCTCCATCCACAACTGCCCGGTAATGAGAGGGTATATTTTCTATTAACCATGTAAAACAGACCAAAAGTTCTGGCAGCGCACGTTATTCAACCAAGAAGGATTAGTTGGTCCATAAATGGCGGTAAATTTTCTGTTAACCACGTTAAAACAGACCAAGAGTTCTTTCCTAGAGTCCTGATGAGAATCGTTGTTAGCAAAACTCGAAAGTGTCTAGAAAACAAAATTTGGATAAAGAATCCAAACCAAATATTCATTGTGGACACCTTGAATTAATCCATAACCACTGCATATTATTATTAGGAATAAGGGGATCATTCACTCTCCAACTGATCATCTTCACATTAGTTTCATTAACCAAATATAGCCGAGAACACACGACAATATAGCTTTGTAGGTTTTCCAGTATTCCGAAGGTGAATTCCATATTATTGTGAATGTCTAGCCCATTAGACTTCTATGGTGTTTTGAATGGGTGAGTTCTCAATGTAGTTGGGTTTACCAACTTGAAGTCCAACCCATATTTAACAAAAACCAGGTCCGTCGCGACCGAGAAAATCATGCTAGGTCCTTTGTCTCGAAGAAATTCAGCCCACATGTCAAAATTCAAAGTTTGAATATAATCTTTCAAGTTGTATTTCACGAAAATGGACCTACTCCGATAGTTTTTGTTGACCGGAGATTGACACACGAATAGCAAATTTTGCAAAGAAGCCATCAAGTGATTGTGCCGAAGAGTCAACATATGCATAGGGTTATGGAGAATCTTGTTCCAACTCGAACTCACGCGCCAAGCATTACACCAATTTTAGTGTAACATTATTATTATTTTTTGAAATGGCAGTGTAACATTATTAGTTAAACCAAAATAGTGAACTACTTGGTGTCTTTGTTGGACTGCAAATTTTGCACCAAAACACCAAATTTAGTGTTTTAGTGTCTTCGTTGGAATTGCCCTAAATGTCAGTTAAACAATAACGCTCCATTTGGACAAACTTTTGTAAAACACTTTTATAATACTCTTTTTGGAGAAAAAATTTAGAAAGTATTTTTGAAGAAAAAATTCATTTGGACAAAAAAATTACAAAAAGGTTTTGGTAGTAAAAATTTTTTTCGAAAGGCATTTGGACAAGAAAATCACAAAAGTACTTTTTTAATATCTATTTTTTTATTTTTTCTTTTTAAATTACTTTTTTATTATTCACAATTGTCTTTCTTTAAAAAAAAACACATATGGCAACTCTGAATTAATTTGTATCTATTTTTCTTTTTGTTTTGTTTTAGCATTGAGGTTGAGTATATATTTTATGATGAGAATCATATGGCTTAACATCAAAGTCAACATCAAGGGAAGGAGCAAAAGATGTTCTTGTCAGTTGGTGGTCTTAGATTGTTTCCATTTAAGAATAGAAAAAAGTTTGCAGTGATAACTTGGCCTTCTTTGGAGGAGTTATCACCAACACCTTCTAGTGGGAACATTGAGGTTGAAGAAGAGTCGCTTAATCAAGATCAAGGGTTGGAGAATCTAATGAAGACTTTGCTAACTATTGAAGTAATTCAAGTGATGAAGATTCAAGTGATGTCAAAGAGATTGATGCAAGTGAGTTTGTTCCAAAGAGCAAGCGTCTTGAAGAGATTGAAAAATGCACATTCAAGTGTGTAGAAGACATCATTGGCGCTTGGAGCTTTGAATGGAACCGCGCGCGCCAATCAAAGGGATTGAAACTCGCGGGTAGCATTTATTTAAATATTTAGTCTTTTATTGAGTCTGCAAATAGATAAAAAAAAAGTTTATTTACTTAAGTTAAGTAAATTAGGGTTTAAAGGTCAATGTATAGCCGGCCCTAGGGAGTATTTCATTAAGGGTAGATTAGTTTTTTACCATTAAAAAGAAGTAAAGTTAATTACATTGCTTGATGGTTAAGTTTAGTTAGAGTTAGAGTCGAAATTGACTACGTCTTTCCTTTCGGTGAATTGAATCGAGTAGTACAAGGAAAGTTGCCTTTCTTTGGCCTAAAGTAAAGCCTAAATAGTAGGGTTTGTGTCTTGGAGAGCAAAGGAAGCTTGCCTATAAAAGGAGGCCGAATTCTCTAAAAAATAAGATAGATATGAGTCGAATAAATTGAGTTTAACCTTTAGGGTTTTAATGAAATATCATCAATGGATGGTTTTCTTACAATGAGCGTTTCTCGTTGTTTTGGAAGAGTTGAAGGGTTAGTAAACTTTTTCTTTCTTAGAGCCTAACGTATGACTTGGTTCTTAGAGTAAACCATTTTATCATGTTTTGTGTGTTGCATGATTTAATTGTTTTAAAACTAATTTTCTTATCATCTTTTGATATGAAGGTCGATAGGTTAAGCATGTTAGATTGCTTAGTTTGTTCGAATTCTTTGTGTCTTAGGGTTTTAGGATACCTTGTTGGTTTATCTATGTGACTAGTGATATTTGGTCGCGCATTCTGGCCCAATATATCTGTACATCTTAGAAATGTTTGTATCTAGAAAAAAAATATTTTGTATTTGGCCCGATATATTTTAGAAATGTTTGAAAATTTTAGAAATGTTTTATAAGTGTGATCATAGAAATGTTTGTATTTGGCATAAAAAGAAATTGTATTTGACCCGGTACGTTTTAGAAATGTTTGAAGATTTTAGAAATATTTTATAAGTGTTACTTCTTAAATATAAATAAACTTGATTAAATATATGTCTTGAATTAAATGCTAGACAAAATATAAAAGCATTCTAATAAGTTTAAATATTAATAAGATAATTTATTGGTGTTCTCCAGTTGTGCCAAATCAATACTTAGTTTTGGAGATTTATAATAGCTTTGTAGTAAGCTTCCTCCCGGGTATACGCTTAATTATTGAAACTATTTCTTCCAAAAGTTTATAAGTAGTAAAATATCAAAAATATGATTTTGAAACTGGTTAATTGATGAAATTGGTTGATCACAAATATGAGAATGAAAATAATGTAAATTTGCATAGGTTTCAAGTTATACCAAAAAAGAACTCACCTCACCATGGCAAAAAAAAAAAAAAAAAAGTAAAAGATAGCCCATTTAAAATTGGGAAATTTATTTTTTTTTGTAGGTAAAAATGTTGTATAAAAATACAAATAAACGTAGAAACATCATTCTTTCCCTCTCCGCCTCAAATTCATAAAAGTCTTCACCAAAAATTAGTTAGAAGAAGCCACCTAAACTATTTAGATGATTAGAAACTAAAAAAAGTCCAAAAATCAAAATTCAAAAAGTATATTCTTGAAAGCCTGAACACAAAAAAAAACGCGCTTTATTTGCAAATAAAATAAAATAATAATAATGATAATTGGTCAACTGGGAGTATGATATAAAATAAAAAACAATTAAACAAAGAAAAAATACACTTCGTAACTGACCATATACGAAAAAAAACTGAGACTCCATAATTAAAAAAAGAAAACCACTCTAATTGAATGAAACATTAAAAAAAAATTTAAAAAACCACACTTTGTAACAAAAACTTAATTAATCAATTCAATCCAAACAGAACTAAAATCATACAAAACTTCTAGGCTAACTAACTATATAAGAAATCACATCATATTACCTGACAACGGCTACGGTAGCTGTAACGGATGGACGCATAAAAATAATAGTAATAACACTATTCTAGAATGGGAAAAACAAAAAATAATAAAAGCCAAACAAATGATCTGTGGAAATAAAATCATTTAAATTTTAATACCTGTAATTTCACCACCACAACGGCCGAAGCAAGATTAATGAGAATTTTTTTTTTCCTTTGTTTTTATATAGAAAGGTAAAGAGAATATTTTTTGAAGTCGAAATTTTATCTGATCAGGATGTAGTTGATCATCACTAATGAAAAGATTGAACATGCTAATAGGAAAAGAGTATATTTCACCACATATTCTCAATTGATGATTGATGAAGAATTTGTTTTTTTTTTTATTGTGGAGAAGAGATTGATTAGGGAATCGATTGTCGTGGAGATGGGGATGAGGATTTGGGCTTTCTATGAACCCGTCTTTTTTTTTTGGAAAAAATAGGAGGTGGAGGTGGATTTGGACTGCATTGCCTTTAAAGTTTCTAGGAGATGTGAAAATAAAGATTTATTTAAAAATATGATGTGGAAATGCCACATGGCAAATGGTGGTGCTTTCTCTTAAGTGTGGTTTTTGTTTCTAATATAGTAAGATATAGATGAGTTTGCATGGAAATAGCATGATGAATAATGTGTTTTTGATTGGTTATTGCCTTGGTTATGATAGTGTCCTTAACAATATAGCATATATATTGTTTTGGTTTGTTATAGTTAAGTGAATAATTTGATCATGACATGTATCGTCAATTATATGGGTGATTGTCCGATTATATTGAAGGCTTTCATCTTTATAAGATTAAGTTATTCAATCCGGATGATTAATGGATTTTGTGTTTGAGCTTTGTTTGAGTTTATAAGATAGTGGATTTTTGTTCTCACGGTCCAAGTTTATTTGTGAATTTTCTTCACTCTTTTAGAGTTTCACTTTTAAAAAATTTTTCCATACATTCTTGTTGATGGTTCTATTAATGAAATCCGGTTCGTTTACGAGTTTGCTATTAATTTTTGGTATCAGAGATGGTTTAACGCAATGGTAGCGAAATTGATATCTATGATGTCAGTTTTTGGTATCAACGCAAAGGTGGAAAAGATATCCGATTCTCTTTTGAGAATATGGTTCAAAACCCTAGCAATGTACTAGAATTGGTGGGACTATCTTTTATTTTGATTAAGGTTCTTTTTGTTTTTGAAAAGAGTTTTGAGAAAAGTAAATCAAACTAGATTTAAATTACAATTTCATAAGTTCTTCTTTATTGAATATTAGGTGCAAAAACTAGGTATTGCTTTAAGATGAATTTTTGAGTATTTTGGTTTCGAGAAATTAGTGAGTCTTGTTGAAGTTGTGCAAACAATTGATTCAAGGAGGGCTTCATTCGAGATTTCCTTTGAGGTTGAGATTGGAGATTGGTTTCTTCATGATCAAGAATTTTGGAACTTATGTGAATCATGATTAATTGATTTAGGGTTTGATGCCAAAAGCGAAAGCGCATAGCCTTACCGTTTTAAGAGAGATTATGTAAACATGAGCAAGTGTGTGTGTGTGTGTATAGGTCTACGTTCTTTGAATTTATGATCTATGAATTTTAAAGGTTAAGTATTCATGAAAGTATACTATTTATGGAAGTGTTGATCTTTCCTTCTTGAATTTAGTTCTTTATGAATTGGAGAAGAGTAAAATCTAGGGTTCGTGGTGTTTCAATCAATGAGACGTCCATAATCACTATTAGGTTTTATTAGATTGAGTCTTGTGTCGAATTAGTGTAGTTTCGACCTAATGTGCTATGTGAAGTTTCTTCGTCGACTTTCTTGTCGAGTTGTGCGTTGACTTGTGTGTTTCCGTCGACTTCCTTGTGGGGTTGTTCGTTGACTTTTGTGTGGTTTGATTTGAAGCTTTCTAAAAGTTTTGAATTCAATATGTGTGCAAGGTAACTTAAAGAGATTAATGTGTTCTTTGAACTTCTGGGTTAGTGATTAATTGTTTGAAGTCTTTTTCAAGAATACCGTGACCTTTCTTGTGGATATTTGATTTTTCATTGATTTGGAATTTGGTTTTCAAGAGTTTATCTTTTATGTAACTATGTGTTTTACTTCTTGTTGAGTCATATGAATGAGATATGTGTTTTAGAGTTTTTTCTCTAGGGTTTACACATATAAGAGTTTCCATGACGTACTTTGGAAATTGCTCGTGTTAAAAGTACCTAATTTATATTGTTTTGAGTGTTAAAACAAAATATTTTCAAAAATTATGTCTTTAGGATTTTAATCCAATGCGTTTATGTGGTTTTCGTTTGTTGAGTTTCTTGGACTTGGTAGATGAAATAAATTTGCTTGAATGCATGACTAGTATTTTTGAATTTCAATTACATGAATGAAAGAGAGTTTTTAGTATTTAACTAAAAGTTTTTTGCCTTGATTTTAATTGAATTAATTTCGAGAATTATTTTAATTGTGTGTGTCAAAATTTTAATTCTTATTTTGAGTGGGAAAAGAAATTTTTGCTTGTGTGAATGTGTGTGTGTGCCGTGTTTTCTTTTTAGGAAATACTAAAAGGAAAAAGGTTTTATTTGTTAAATACTATATAATAGGAGGGTAATTAAAGGAATTTCCTAAAAATTATTAAGGTATATTACTTGTTTTATTGTGTCTTTTTCGGTTGAAATATAATTAGGAAATTAGGGTTTTTTTTTTAAAGAAAGTTTTCTAAAATTTAGAGTCTTATGAATTAAGAAAATTATTTAATTAAACTTGTTGTTTTAAAATAATTTTAGCCAAATATGTGTCATTATTTTCGGGTGAAAACTTGGAAAATAATTAGGGTTTTATTAATGGACAAAATGCACTTTTAGTCTCTCAACTTTTGGGAAGAGTAAGATCGAGTCACCATGAATTTTCAATTGGCGAAAATGGTCCCCTAAAATGTTTTTTCCGTCAATTTTACAAAATTTTTTAAGAGTTAACGGATTTTGTAAACTTTCCGTCAGCTCTTCATTATTTATTTATTTCTACATTGTTTGTGGGTCCCATCAAGTTTGACCCCCTAAAAAAATTTAATAAAATAAAAATTGATTTGAGCCAACAAAATTTTGTTCTTTCTTTCTCATTTCTTTTCTCTTTTTCCCTAGTTCAATTCCAAGTCTCCCTGCCCCCTCACAACCCCCGTCGCCGCCCACATCTGCTTCATCCCTCTTCTTTCTTCTCTCTACTTCTCTTCCGAAAATCCTTTTTGTTTTCTTTTCTTTTTTTTCTTCCCCTTTCCCCTTTCTTATTTATTTGCTATTATTTTTACACCTGTATGAGTGTGTGGCTTCTTTTCCACAAACTCCTCACGCCTCTTCAAATCCTGTGTTGTAAACCCTATAGAGTTGAGGAGCGCTTGCTTTTTTCACAAAGAATTGGCGGATTTAGGTGTTTTTAATCGCCGTTGGCTTTGAATTTGGCGTTTTTTTAAAGGTTCGGTGAAACCGGAGCGTGCCTGTTCTTTAATTAGCGGCTCTGCTGCTGGTTTTTTTTTTAAGTTGGTTCTGTTTATGGCACCGAGTCGGAGAAAAGGTGCCAGTAAGGCCGTTGCGGCTGCCGCCGCACGCCGACAATGGAAGATTGTGATCTTGTTTCGATCTGATTGAGCCAGAAGAAATGGGGTTGAATCCTAGAAATTTAATTCTCTATGGAGTTCGCAAATTTCTTTTCAAGGAAATCTATATTGTAGATTTTGAGCTCTGAGATATGATTTATTCAGGTTGTAAATGTTTGAAATTGATTCAAGCAATAAAATGTACGGGTGAATTGAGTTGGAGATGAGCTCTATGACTTCAGTTTTTGTGCCAGAAAAGGTTTTTTGTACCACTGCTTTAATTCAAGTTGCAGAGCCCTCCTTGTTCATGAGGTGGAATTGATACTTAATTGAAGGTTTTTTGCTTGCCGTACTTCTGGGTCCGAATTTGTGTCCCAGTTATAATGGAATAAGATTGTGATGAAACAATTTTGTGTGAGCTGGTCTTAAATGTATGCATTTGATCTTGGGACATGAGTTTGATATGAAATTGGTTTGATCCAAAGTTCAGAAGGTGGTGGTGGTGGGCGGTGGAGGAGCGTTATAACAGAGGAGGAAAAAAAGGGGAAAGAAGAAGAAAATAATGTTTTTTTTTTAGCTTTTTTAATTAAAGTAAAAATGTTAAAGTTAAAATTTTATCTAGTTTTTAAATTTTTATCTTCAAAAAATTAAATCAACCAAATTACATATGGAAAATTATATGGAGTGATAAAAGAAAAGTTGTAAAAATTTTTTAAAAAAAAGAAAAGAAAAAATTGTTGGGTCAAATAGTAGGCCCTACTGTTCAAAAAATTAATGAAAAATTGAAGACTAAACGGGAACAAGGGTTGACCCGTTAAATTTTAAAAAATTCTGTTAAATTGACTAAATTGATGAGAAAAATAATTTAGGGGACGGTTTTTGCCAATTGAAAATTTATTGTGACTCGATCTTGCTACCCTCAAAAGCTGGGGGACGAAAACTGCATCCGGTCCTTTATTAATTGGAGAATTTCAAATTATTAAAATAGAAGAATTGCCTAAAAGCTAAGCCTATTTTTAATCGGAAAACTTGTAGTAAAAGTCATCTCATGCCTATATAAAGGGGTGTGTTGGTCGAATTTTTCATACATCCCAACCTCCAAATTTTTTTTTTGATCTTTGAGCTAAAGCTTGCATAAGGTCTTAAGGTTGAAGGAATAACTAAACCATCTCTTTTGCTAGTTATTTTGGGGAGTGCCAATAGTCGAATATCTTCCTTTGATTCGAGGGGAAGGGTTTCTCGGATTATCAAAATCCAAGGGAGTTTTTCTAGTTTAAGGTGCTAATTTGCTCATCATCATGAGTGAAGAGATTGCTAAGTTGAAGGTGTGTTGTTCATGCCATATCATTGAGGTGAGAGTGCAAGAACTAGGAGCATTGTTGAAGAATTTTGAAGCGGGTGACATTGGAGTTCATGATGAGGTTGTCAACAAGCAATTGGTGAACTTTAGTGATAAGGTGCTTTCTGTGGAACAAAAGCTTCATAACCTTAAGCAAGAGCATGAAGGTTTGAGAAGGAGCATCTTCAAGAAGATCGAATCTATGCAACGAGATTTGATCCAACGTTTTATTGATGCAGATTGTCGTGTGGATGCAAGGAATGATTTTGCGTGTATTGATAAGTTAAAGCTTGAAATTCCGATCTATGGTGGGATTTCTGAAGAGATGGAATCTTGGGTTGAATCTATTGAGAATTTGTTTGAATAGCTAAATGTGACTGGGGATAGTGTTAAGATCTCTATTGCTATCCAAGGTTTGCGACATATAGCTAAAAATTGGAGTGTGCTATACTTGTATAATCTAGATGGAAGTGAGCATACTTGGTATGATTTTAGAGAAGCAATATACAATAGGTTTTGGAGTAGTGACATTGCTTATGAAATCCAATCTGATTTGTATGAACTTGTTCAAGGTGACATGGATGTTGAGTCTTATATTGCTAAATTTGAGAAGTTGTGCTTGAATGGAGGAAGTAATGACTTGAATGAAGTGTTAGTTGTTCGATTCTTGAATGACTTGAGTTCTTGTTATAAAGATGACGTGTCTTTGATGGGAGAGAAAGATTTATATCGTGCCTTTCAAAGAGTTTTGTTGTTGAAGTAGCGTAAGAATAAGGCTATTTGGAAGAAGTGTAATGATTCTTGGAAGGAACAAGGCGTTTCTTGAAATACACTCAACATAGTGTGGAGTCAAACGTAGATCATGTCTTTCGTACTATAGGTGCGATAGGATGGGTTGATAATTTGATTGTAGCTATCGATGGGGGTAGTAGCATCAATTGTATAAGTGAGGAGGTTGTTAGAGTTAATCACTTGGAGGTGAATGACTTAAGTGAATCTTACAAATTACGTTGGTTGCATGGTGGAAAGGAATTGAGCGTTACTCAAAGTGCTAAGGTGGATCTTCGTATTGGGGATCTTGTTACTAGTGAGTTGCTTGATATACTACCTATGACGGCATGTCACGTTGTCTTGGGTCTACCTTTCATTAAGAAGTTGGGAATGGTCTTTGTTGGTTCATTGAATGTTTTCTCATATCGAGATCATGAGAATAGGTTGGTGGAGTTGAGATCATTATCACTTTGGGAGAGTGAGCATATCATGTTTAAGAGACGTGAGTTTGCTAAAGCATTGTGCGAAGTGAAGGATGTACAACAAAATAAAAAGGGAGGTACATTCGAGGAGGGTGAATCGAGTGGTGGTGTAGGAGGAACACTCAACGCTAACCATGATTTCTTGTTTCATTTTGTAGGTAATGATGTAAGTCTTGATTCGAGGACGAATCATTTTCAAGAAGGGGAGGATGATGAGAATCATATGGCTTCACATCGAAGTCAACATCAAATGAAGGAGCAAAAAGTGTTCTTGTTAGTTGGTAGTCCTATATTGTTTCCGTTTAAGAATAGAAGAAAGTTTACTGTGAGAACTTGGCCTTCTTTGGAGAAGTTATCACCAACACTTTCTAGTGGGAACATTGAGGTTGAAGAAAAGTGGCTTAGTCAAGATCAAGGGTTGGAGTTTCAAGTGATGAAGATTCAAGTGATGTCAAAGAGATTGATGCAACTGAGTTTGTTCCAAAGAGCAAGCATCTTGAAGAGATTGAAAATGCACATTCGAGTGTGTAGAAGACATCATTGGAGCTTAGAGTTTTGAATGGAGCCGCACGCACCAATCAAATGGAGAGAAATGTGCGGGTAGCATTTATTTAAATATTTACTATTTTATTGAGTCTGTAAATAGATAAAAAGTCTATTTAGTTAAGTTAAATAAATTAGGGTTTAAAGGTTAATGTGTAACCGGCCCTAGGGAGTATTTCATTAAGGGTAAATTAGTTTTTGATATTAAAAAGAAGTAAAGTTAAATACTTTGCTTGATGGTTAATTACTACAAGGAAAATGGCTTTTGGCGGCACACAATGTATGCCGCGAAAAGTAGCAAAAGTGCCGTGAATACCATATTGTGACAGAAATTGCGGCATATCACAAAGTGACGCGATAAGTGCGGTCGCAAATATTTGCGACACTTAAAAACAAGTGTGTCACGACATATGCGACACTTATGCGTCAATATAAACACGTCGCATTAAATTCGTGACACATCTTGTGTTGTTTTTTATTCCATGTCGCGATATGATGGCGACATTTTGTTTCCGTCGATTGAGTATTGACGCATAATTGATGCGACATATTTAGTCACCTTTCGAATGTGCATCAAAGTTCTGCGAGACACAAATTTGAAAAAAGCCACATAATTTTAGCGACACAACCCTTTAAATGCCGCATGTTTACTGCGGCAAAATATTTATGTTGGTAACTAAAGTGCTACAAAAAATAATTTGCGACACAAGGTTTTGATGTCATAATTAGATGTCATGCGCCAAAAAAAATATGCTGCATTTTTTGAGGCATTATTTGGGGTATTGTTTTGCGTATATTTTATTATTTTATGCCTAAATATAATGTATTGTTCAGCCAATTTTTTTGAATCGCATTACAACCCTTATTTTGGAATAGCATTTATTTTTTACAACATTTAAAGTTAAAGTGTTTGTGGAACCCAATAAAAATAAGCATAATATTATTGTCGAATAAATTTTTAAGAGCAAAATAGAAATTCACTAAAAGAAAAAAAGATTAGCATCCCATACAAACTTAAATGGAAAGCAACTAAGTCCATAAAAATTAAAATCCCACAAAAAGTACACATCGTCATTACAAAATGTTCTTTCAATTCAAACATAGATAACTAGCAGATTTTTGAAAGCTTCATCGTCATGTAACCTTTTGAATTTCCTGCAAAAACAAACCAAAAAAATGAGAGAAAAATAAACTAATTTGTATTTATCACAAAATCGCATGCTTGTTTTTGTTTTTGTTTTTGTTTGCAAGAAATTAATAGTAGTTACCTAGCTAGGCGCTTGGAGACCCTTCTAGCTTTCTTACTTTCTTAATGAGTTTCAATAATATGAGCTCATTTAGACACATATAATGATGAAAAACTTGAAAAAAAAAAATTGTTTCCGAAAAGCTAAAAATGTAAGTTATCTTAGTGGAAGTAGCATCTGAATGAATCAATGGAGGATTATCATCTTTAGATTGATTTATCTCTTTGCTCACCTAATCAAAAGATAAAAAAATGTCATGAAGAATAAAATAATTTATAATTGAATGTAATACAACTTTTCATTAATGTACCTTAGTAGATTCATTTGTTTGGCCATTATTTGATGAGTTTCCTAATCCATGCAAAGGTTCATTCAAAGCAATTTGGTGCTGGGAATTAGAAGACTCTTGTACCTAAGACATTTTTATGTCGCAGAGGTAAATACAATACAATTTTTCTTGTAATAATTTTTGTAAAGTGAACTCAAACCTGGGTATTTGGACTGCCAAAGCTAGATGATGTCCACTTGCACATTCTAAGGTATGGTTTTTTTGAAAGTTATTCTAATTGGGTTCATCATGGGGAAAAGAATAAGTACAGTCAGCAACATTTGGATACTGTTTTTGAAGAAAGAATAGAGAATGATGATCTGCAAGGTTTGATACATGAGGGACTCGGGACTTCATATTCCCATATTGGAGCTCATCAAAATTTTAATGGTACTAGTCCAGATAGAGAAGCTCAACAATTTGACAAACAATTTGATGAGGGTACAGAAAAGTTTTTTAAACTATTAGAACATGCTGAGGCTGAGTTGTTCCCTGGGTGTAAAAGTTTCACTCTTTTGTCTTTCATTGTTCGCTTGTTGAATGTGAAATCACTTTGCCGACGGAATAACAATTCTTTCACAATGTTGTTAGAGATCCTAAAAGTGGCATTCCAAAGTGAGTTATTTCTAGGTTCTTACCACGAAGCTTGGAAACTTGTCAAGGATTTGGGTTTAGAGTGTAAAAAGATTCATGTTTTTCCTAATGATTGTATGCTTTATTGGAAAGAGGCAGAAAATGATGACAAATGCAAGCATTGTAAGACTTCTAGATATAAGCACTTCAATGGGCAAAATGAGGATTTATGTAAAAGTGAACAAAAGATTCCAGCAAAGGTTGTTTGCTACTTTCCTTTAACACTAAGGCTTCAAAGATTTTTTATGTCTTCAAAAACTGCTTCTTTAATGAGATGGCATGCAGAAGAACGCATTGATGATGGAAAACTTCGGCATCCAGCTGACTCTCAAGCATGGAAAAGTTTTGATGAAAGGAACCCAAGTTTTGCGGTTGATTGTCGCAATGTACGACTAGGACTTGCTGCTGATGGGTTTAACCCATTCAAATCAATGAGTATTGCTCATAGCACCTGGGCGGTTGTTCTGATTCCCTATAATCTTCCACCATGGCAATGTATGAAACAACCTTCATTCATATTATCCACACTCATTGATGGTCCTCGAGCTCCCAGAAACGACATTGATGTGTATTTGCAGCCGCTCATTGATGAACTTCAAGAATTATGGAGTCCTGGGGTTCTAACATATGATGCAATAGAAAAATGCATGTTTCAGTTACGCGCAGCACCACTTTGGACAATAAATGACTTTCTAGCTTATGGAAACCTTTCTGGTTGGAGTACAAAAGGTGTGTATGCATGTCCTTGTTGCAATAAAAATCCACAGTCTCGTTGGTTGAAAAATGGGAACAAACATTGTTATATTGGTCATCGTCGTTTTCTTCAGATCAAGCACAAGTATCGCATAGATTTACTGCATTTTGATGGCTCTATGGAGAAATCTCCTAAGCCGCAAAGATTATCTGGCTCAGAAATTTTTGAACAGTTAGATGGGATGGTGAATATATTTGGAAAACTACCATCAACTGTTGGAGGAAAAAGGAGAAAGAGAGTGAAAGTGCATGGTGATGCAAAATCAACACGTCGGTGTAATTGGAAGAAGTTGAGCATATTCTTTCAATTACCTTATTGGCAAGAAAACATTATCCACCACAATCTTGATATTATGCACATTGAGAAAAACTTTTTGGAAAATCTCTTGTGGACATTGCTTGGTGTCAAAGGTAAAACCAAGGATAATGTTAAGTCACGATTGGATCTTCAAGAATTTGGGATCAGAAAAGCACTTCATCCTCAGAGGAAAGGAGATAAGTTTCATCTACCCCCAGCTTCTTTCACCATGAGTAAAGATGAGAAAGATGTGTTTTTGAAAGTATTAAAGAATGTAAAGGTCCCTGATGGGTATGCTTCTAATATCTCAAATTGTGTTAATCTTGAGGAGCGAAATATCTCTGGTTTGAAGAGTCATGATTGTCATATATTGATGCAATAGTTGTTACCACTTGCTTTGAGGAGATCAGTGCCTAAACATGTTTGCAGTGCCATAGTTAATTTGTGTGATATTTTTAAACAATTGTACTCAAAAGTGCACTCTGTGGCTGATTTTGAATGTTTAAAGGATTGAATTGCATTAGCACTTTGTGAATTATAGAATATATTTCCGCCTTCATTTTTTGACGTTATGGAGCATTTGCCTATTCACTTAGCTGAAGAAGCTAAATTTGCTGGTCCTGTTCATTTTCGTTCTATGTACCCTATAGAGAGGTATCTTATCTCATTATCTATTATATTTTATAAATTTACTTTTGATTAACTGTAACTTGTGAATAAATAGCAATTCGTTTTTCAGGTACCTATGCACATTGAAAAGTTACGTCCGAACCCGAAGTCACCTAGAAGGATCTATAGCTGAGGGTTATCTTGCCGAAGAATGCATGACATTTGCTCAATGTACTTGAAGGATGTGGAATCAAAATTGAATAGAACAAGTAGAAACTTTGAAGGTATCAAAGGTTCTAATTCAGAAAGCGGTCATCCCATTGGAAAAGAAGAAGTTATTTTCCTTGGTGATATTGAATGGATCCAAGCTCATAGATATGTGATCAATAGTTTATCAATTGTTGACGACTATAAAAGGTAAGTGTAAATTGTTTTTGTTTTAATAAGTGTTAAATTTTTCATTATGTTAAATCAATTAATTGTATTGTTTCAGGGAACACTTGCATGTACTTAAGCATGAAAATCCACGCATGTCAAGTTACAATAGGGAGAAAATTCACAATGAAACTTTTGATGATTGGTTTAAAGCTAAAGTAAGTTAATACTTAATCCTTATATAATTTATAATTATTATGTAACATGGTTTTTATATCTAAGGTCTAATCATTTTTTTCTATTTTGGTTTAATTTGATAGGTTAGGGAAATGAGCAAGCATATGGTTGTGATAGTATTCATGAAGACATTCGTCACTTGGCTGTTGGTCCAAGTAGATGGGTTAGACGATATTCCGGGTATGTCGTAAATGGCTTAAGGTTTCACACTAAACAATGTGAGATGAGAAGGAAAACTCAAAATAGTAGAGTATTTGTAAGGGCAACTACAAGTAGCTTTTCAAGTACTAAGGATAAAAATCCTATTTCTGGAGATGTATCATTTTACGGTGTTTTGAAGGATATCATTGAACTAAGATACACTAGCCATCTTAAGTTTGTGTTGTTCAAGTGTGATTGGGTAGACTACAATACTGGATTGCGGCATGATGAGTTCAATTTCACATTAGTCAATTTTAACCATTTGTTGTATAAGCAAAATAGAAAAACTGTTGAGCCATTCATTCTAGCTTCTCAAGTCCAACAAGCTTGGTACATTGAAAATCCACATAATCCAAATTGGTTTGTGGCTTTGAAAATGAATCCTCGAAGTTTGTTCAATGTAGATCCTGAAGTTAATTTTGTTAGCAAAACTGAAGATGATAGTTACATTCAACAACCTAATCCTGTGGATATTGTACATAATCACACATCGTGGGCTAGAGCAGATGTTGAAGGGGTCACACTTGACCCACCAAGTCCCAAGGCTAAAAGGAGTCGCCGCTTTGGTGAAGTTGACCCTAATGATTTAAGCTCAATTGACGAAGAAATAATGTACGCTAGCGATGGATCTGATGCTCCAAGTGATGATGATGACTTTTTTGAACAAAGAAATGTGGCAAATGAGGATTGCGAGGCTTAATAAGAAGGTTTGTACTTTATATCTTGCTTAACTTTTAACTTGATTTTTGTTTTTGTTTTTCTTGCGTGTTTAATCGTTCGAATGTATTAGATTGTGAAGACTAGATTTTATGGTTTCCATTCTTGATTTCCCCCTCTCAATAAAAAAATCTTGTTAGGAGCAGTGAACTTAACATATGATGCAACTGCAACCTTGATTTTTTGTTACTTTTTCACATTATGCTTGAGATTTTACATGTGCAAACTTGAGCTGCACCCAAATTCCATCGAATTGGCAAATTTAAATTCAACTCTACTGCATATTGGCTGCCATGTGCATTGCCTTTTTTTTATGTGCTTGTCAAGCTAGGCTCATTAGTTTCAATCATTTTTTAGAGTCCTGAATCGGAAAACTGTGGTGCTAAGTTGTAACCTTGTTGCTTCAAGAATTACTCTGCATGTAGGCAAAAAGGTAAGAGTACGGCATAATAAGTGGATAAAACAATACAATGAAAATGTAGTAGCTAGTTATTGCTCTGTGGATAAATTTGAAATTTTCCTACTCTATTGCATGAATCGTGGTGTTTGTATGTCACTTTTGTGGTAGCATACATCGATGTGGTATCATATTTTACCGTTCTAAATTGAACTACTTTGGTTAATGACAGGTATGATTTCGCCTTAGGTGCAGCGCCGAAGCAGCTTCCTTAGAACTAGAATATGCATTGCTGACAGTTAATGAATGGAAGATAAAGAGTATCGGATTGTATTGATACCATTTGGGATGGCACCAGTTCTATGTATAAATGACCAACACTTGAGAAGTTCTAAACTTGTGGTCTACGAATGATATAATTTTATATAAGTTACTGAAAACAATTCTTCCTCTTGATTATTTGTGGAGCCATATTGGCTTAAATTGACTCCTTTTATTATGCATTGGTACGACTCTTCTTTGTTAATAGATTCAAATCCCTATTTCCTTATGCTCATTTGATGACATGGCTTGCTTTTTCTTTCTTAGAAAAAAAATGGTTGAAATACTTGCTTTGTCAAGTATCGTTGAACAGGACCTTCAACAATATTTTAGAATAAATTCAATCGCAGAATTTTGGTCAACTTTAATGAATAAGGATCATAAGGAAACAAATAGTTTATAGGTTGAAGAAGTAAACCAATCAACCCAAGTGCAAACTGGGGTGAGTTTGAATTAGATAAGAATTGTTTGTAATGATTTCAAATTTGTTCGATTTATAGCAAAACTTGGATCACAAAAATGGAAAAATGATAAGTTTTTGGTCAGGATGGAATTTAAGAATTGCAAAAAAAAAAAAAAGGTGAATTTGTATGGTTTATATATGAACAACAATTTTTAAAGTGATGCAATGCTTATGCCAGGGGATATTGAGACCTCAAAAGTTAGTAACGCAAAATCAAGGCAATTCTATTAAATACCACAAACATGACACAAACTCGCGACAAAAATAAAAACGTGTCAAAAATTAACGACACTTTAAGTGAGTGCAGCAAAGAAATGACGTTAATTTGTCGCAGAATAATTTAATGTCACAAACTAGTGGCATTTTTATCGTATGACGCCGTAGAGCCACAAATATGCTGCAAATAGACAAAAATGACGCTAATTTGCGACACTTCTCTGCGACACCACTTTTAAATGTGTCGCCAAAAGCTATTTTTCTTGTAGTGATTCTGTGTAAATGAATGTGTCAAGTAACTATCGTAGTTCATGGTACAAGATAGAACCACAGTGGGTTCAAATGTCTGATGACTAATTAGGTTTAGCGGCCAAGCAACAGAAATAAATTTCAAGAGAAATATAATGTAAATATCATTACTCAAATTTTATTGCATCTCAGATGTAGATCATATATGAAATTGCTTAAAAGAAACACCATGGTAAAGTAGCTTCATGTTTCAGGCGAATCAATGGCACTTACTCTGATGAGAAGGATGAGGAGAACGGTTGATAGCTTGGAGTTCCCGGGAAGGCAAACATGGAAGCAAAGCCGCCTCCAATGCCATGACATAGCCAATCATATCATCCTTGGATGCTATTGCAGCAGTAGAAGCCGAAGATTGTGAATCAAGTCCATGCCAACTTTGCACATATCATTTTTAAAATGAATATTCAGTGTCATTAGTTTTTTAGGACAGAAGCAGCCTAGGAAACAAGAAATACAGCACTCTGTTCACACCATAAAAATCAGAATAAATAGCGTCTAAGCAACAAGTGCTCAAGCCGGATAGCTACCTATCTAATCAATGACCATCTCTGGCTTCATTATAGCAAAATAGATAATAAACGACATTATCAATCAGTCTCATTTATAGAAGGCATGCCTTAACTCTAAGATATGAACCCAAATATGAGCCTAATGTCACATCAGTCTCATTTACACTTGTCATTGTTTACTCGTATCATAAAGCTAACTAATGTAATGTCTATGCAATTATTGCATGGCTTAGGAATGTATTGATTTCTATTATGTATGTTCATATAATCAATTTTAAGTTGTTTCAACATCCATAGAGTTCCACGTATAGCTTACAAAAGGAAGAGAAGGCTTACAAAGAGAAATCAACCAAAAAGATTCTAAAAATGACGATAAACGAGCAACTTTAGTACAACAGCTCAAATCTCAAATTCTGAAATTTGAGAAAATCAGGACTGATGAGCCATTTTCAAATCCATTTTTTGACCCAGCCCAGAATTCATTTGAAGAACCGTAAAAACTGATACAAGGTAGACTAAAAGAGATTCTGGAGAAAAGTTTAAGAGCTAGAAGAAACATGCCCTTTAACACAAGGCACTACAAAATAAATGGGCTTTGGTGACCAATAGATTCTGGTCACCTAAATACCCTTTGGTGACCAGATAAGGTCACTAAACACCTTAGGTGACCAATTTTTCCTTCGGTCACCCCTCATCAATAAGGCCTCGTCATTAAAGGCTTTGGTGACCAACTTTTTAGGTTCGGTCACCAAAATGGAGTACCTAGAGAAGTTGGTCTTTAAACGCGTTTTGGTCACCAAACTCTGAGGGACATCTCGGGCAGTTACAATTTCTTGACCTCTGAAAGTTGGTCTCTGAAATAATATATTTTAATAATATATATTTTAATTTATATATTAAAATATTATATATTTTAATAATATTTTATATTTAAATCCTAAACTTGATGACCAACATTATTATGGTTAAAAATCAAAAGTTGGTCAATACCGTTGTTGACCAAATGTCCATCAATTTAATGCAAAATGACCCAAATTATTAAAAAAATAAATCTAATACACATAATCTTCAAATTAAGAGTATGAACTAATAATATTCAAGTACAAGTCACAACAATTAGTCTACAAATCTAAACTTTCTAACCAAATATTCAACCTACTAGAGTTCATAAAAAAATAACTTTTTCTATAGCATACAATTGCTGTAACATTGTTGTATAGCGTAAAGGACAAGCACCTTAATTTCTATTTGCTAACCAATGATCATTCTTGTGTACCTCGAACACGTGTCATTTCCAACTCCTGCATCAAGAACATGCAACAAGCATAGAAAGTTAAGGTAGGCCCTTTCACCAAAACAACTCTTATTTTGAAACTTTAACATACTACAACATTGTTTCAGTTGAGGTGAAGAATTATAGCCAAGTTTAAAAAATAACACAATGTTGAAAACTGCATAACTGATTTTTTAGGCTAACTTTGAAGAATAAACTAAACTAATTTGGTGCAAACTAGCTATTAATGTTTTTAACATACTACGTAATCCTAACTAAAGCTATGTAATCCATAGTAATTCTAACTAGAGCTAAACTAAAGAGGGTTTTGCTAATTACCTCATGAATACCAAGCTTCAACTTCTAAAAGAATGCCTTGTACAACTTGTTCCTCGTTTCCCAACAATCTCAAAGAAAAACCCAATGCACTTCTTCAACAAAATCTTACACTGAGGAAGACAAAAAATAGGACAGCAAATATAAGAATTTGTATAAAGAATCAACTTGAAACTTTAAAATGCTACAAGTAAAATATTCATTTCACACAGAATATTCAAGAAACATCATTTTTGCACAAAATAGTTCACACAGAATATCTGATATAGACAACTTGAAATTTGCACAACTTCATTTTTGTTCAAGCATAACATACTTAAATGTTCAGCATTTCCAGAAACATCCATCTTCATAAACCATTTCCATTCATGTTATAGAGCATTCAAGAACTCATTTTCTGGAGCACAAACACCAATATACATCTATTTGTAAGGAGAAAAGTTGCAGAATAAAGAATCAACCAAAAAGGGTTTAAAACTGATGAAAAACGTTCCATCAAAAATAGACAATCAAATCTGAAATCTCAAGTTCAGCAGAAAATGTATACTTGAAGGTCAACTTTTTGGACACGATTTTAGAAACATCCACATTTCCGTTTTACGAACCGTAAACTCTGGCAAACACCCTCGATGGCTAGGTAATGATCCATGTAAAGAAATCTGTTGGAAGATTCAACAGCCATGTAAACCAAACCATTCAAAACAAGTCATTAGACATATCTATGAAAATTCCAGATTCACAGATTGAACGACAAAAGTTTGCAAGAATACCAGAAATACTTTGTTCTCTACCCAGTAGACAAAAACAAAAGAAAACAAGAGTTTCCATTTACATTCACAGTGTAATCTCATGAATAGAAGCAAAAACTAGCCGTAACCATCATCCAAGTTTAAATTTCACATAGCTTATGTATTCCACTTTGGGTCCTCAACTCATCTAGCTAGAAAAGGGCTTCTTCCAACAAAAAAATGTTTGCATTCAGATTATCATTCATTTGTATAAACGGAACTAATTTGGGATGAACTAGATATTATTGTTGATTATTCATTCAGGGGGGCAAAAACAAATGGAAAGGTTGCAGAATGATGCAACATGCCTATTCAGAGTGGTCTCCTAAATCTGAAATTCTGAATTTCAGAAAGTATCACTCTGGAAAGCC